CTTAACTCAATTATGGTGACAGAATTTTAGGCAAAGACCTGGTAAAATATTAAGAACAGAAACAAATTAGTAAAAACCTTGGTGAGCAACTCAAAGCAAAAGAATTTGAAGTAGATACAAATAACACATATTCAAAAAGAAACAAATGAAAAAGAAAATGATTAAGAAAATAATTACCAAGGCATCCGCAACTTCTATTTTGTTTTCTATCTCTTCCTGCAAAGAACTCTACCAAATCACAAGCTATGCAACACAAGATGCTTATAAATAGAAAAAAAAAAAAAAGCAATTTCCTCTATGACATTGATAAATCCAATTTTTAAAATAGACTAGGAAAACTCAATAATAAGACAACCTAAAATTGAACAAGAAAATAAAAGTGCTTAACAGAATTATTCCAATCAAAATCACCGAACATGATCCATTGTATGAACAGAAATAAAAACATAGAAACACATTCCACTGGATGAACAGAAATTAATCACTAGATGTCAAAATCCATATCAAAGAAAAGGCCTTGAAAGAATGAAGAAGTAAACAATCCAAGGGGTCACTGCATAATTAATGAATAAGAAAAATCAATCTTAAATGACATAATTTTATCATCATAAACCAAGAATCAATTATGCAAGGGAGGCAAGTAAATCCTGGGGAAAAATAAAGTACAAAGGAGGTACATAATGACTTCAGGAGTTCACAGTAATTTCATCTAAAACTCAATTCCAAAGAAAGTTCACACTATTCAAATACCCAAGTTCCCTAGTATGAAAATAGCTCAAATAGATAGCCAGTTTTGGCACTTTACTCTAGAAAAGTTCAGCTTCAAAGAAAGTTCAGAGACTCATAGTACTCTTCTTGCAAACTCAATTTCTAGCTCCCATCTTCACATTTCACCCACAGGAAACAACATGACAAAAGTATTCAATAATAAGAAAGAATTAGAAGTAAAGAAGCACAAAGTCTCAGGACCACACACGACATGAAACAAAAAAGGAGGAAAAAACAGAGAAATGAGGGGAAGAATTGGTAAAAAGAAATCCACTAAAAAACCAAGAACATTCTGCCAAATTTTGCCACAGAGGACATCCCTTCAAAATCCCTCTGCATTTTTAGAGAAAATGATTTTTAAATCAATAGAAACTCAGCGCAAGTCCACCACTGAGCATAAAGACATTTTCCTCTCAAGAGCTTGTATTTCACTATAAATTAGAACCTCTACTTCAAAATTCCCCTAACAATTTGAAGTTCTCTAATACGATTGATAAGTAACATATCACTTCTCTATCTCAAGGGAAGCTATCACAATATAAGTTTTATGCCAGACTAATTAAAACTCATATCAAGTTAATTCTTAATGTGCAACTTGTTGGCTTTGACAAAATCTTATTCCATTCTATTTATTTCCATGTAGCCAAAGTTGATTATAAACTAAACAGAATATTTAGCAAGAACAAATTAGCCAAAAAAACTAAGAAAACCAACATAAAAATGGTTTTAATTTGATATTTTCTAGACCATTACTAGGTTGAACATCTTGAAATTGAATTCATAACCATCACTGGTCTGTCGCAAAAACTTTCAAGTCATTATCAAAAAGAAAAAAACTCAGAATCAAACTAAAGAAAGAAGTGAAGTTGCAAGACCAAGCAAGTTCAAATCATCATGACGGTAGGAATTCCATATGCATACATGGAATATATGGATCAAAAGATTCAAAACCAATAAAAAATAAAAAACCCTTAATCAAGCACATAACAATCTAAATGAGAGTACTACAGAAAATACGAAAAAAAAAGTTAAATCAAACACATAACAATCCAAGTGAGAGTGTCAAAATGCTGTCAAACACATAACAAAAAAAGAATTAATGGAACAAAATTCTCATGCAGCATATATAAAGAAGCTACTTACAAGTCAAAATGCTGTCAAGAATGTTTGCAAACACTACCAATGATATACCTTCATCAAGATAAATCCAATAAACGGGATTCACTGTAATGTTTGAAAGGAATGAAATTCCAAATTTCAATTTCAATTACAAGACAGCAGATACCTTGCACACACTCACTACTGCCGAAACACTAGAAAGCAAAATTTCAGCAACTTAACAAATATAAATCTAAACAATCACTTGTAGAAAACAAAGAACCCATCATTTTCCATAGACCAAAAATGCTAAAATTCAAATCCAGCAATAACCCATCATTTTCCAGCCAACAAGAAACTACCAAAATGAAAAGACAACTCCAAATTTGAAAAAACCTTAGAAAAAACATATTTGAATTTGCAAAGAATCCAGAAATTTCGTTCCCAAATTTGAATAGTATATCAAATAATTCCAGA